ATATATATATATATATATATATATATATATAATATGTCAATTCTCTGCATTTTCTAATAGTATTTTGCAGGAAATAAAAATATCATGATAACGCAAATAAAGGAAATAAAAAGTGATCACGAGGCATCACGGCAAAAGAGCACGAGGCATCAAGGCAAAAGAGCATGAGGCAACATGGCAAAAGAAGCATGAGGCAACATGGTGCCTTATGGGATTTGATTTCTATAAATAGTATGTCATATTTGTGTTGAAGGAGGGACATCACACGTGCCAAATTAGCAACTTTTTCTCTAGCTTTGGTCTTTACTTCTTTCTTTATCTATTTCACTTTCCTCTTATAGATTTTGAATTTTCTAAGAGTATTGATAGTATTTTAAGAATTTATTTCTTTGTAAGATTTTAATACTCCATAATGGAGTAATCTCTTTTGTTGGGATAGTTGATGAAGCTCGATATCATTAAAATATTAATCTCCATTTTACTACATGCTTGACCTAAACCTTTCTGCTTATATTTCTATATTGTGCTGGAATATTAGTTTTAATTAATTATGATCACTTCTATCTATTTATTCTCCAAAGTTAGTTGTATGTTAATTTTGTAATTCTTACGAAGCAAAATTAATATATGATAACTATTGGGTAAAATAATAGAGTAAAAGTAATTCTTATTAAGCTATCATTCCAAGTTTGTAATCTTGCTTGCTTCCATTCTAATTCTCACAGAAGAGTTGTAGTTGGCAAGATTATTGATTTTTAGTAAAAAGTAATCGCAAGAGGTTTTTGCTATCTTTTGGCACAATTCAGGCAAGAAAATTATTTCAGTTTAACCGTCACGAGTCATATATCAATTGATTTACATAACCTCGCGGAGTGTTATTAATTGATTATTTCTTAGTGAGCAAAGTATAATTATATTAGCAATAAGCAGTTATTCCTAAGAGAAATAGATGTAGAAGCTAAGATTTTATTATTATCACGTTATCGAGTGAATTCAATGATTCCTAACTCTTTTTTAAACATAAATCTTCCGAAAGTTATTTTGTTTCAACTTAAGCAATTTAAATTTTCAACAAACAAAACTTCATCATTTTGATTCTCTCAAATAGTAGTATAAGTTTGTAGCTAGATTCTCCAATCTCTGTGGGACAATATTATAACTATACTAGAATTTGACAGAGTACGAGTAGCAAAATCTTATACGCATTGGCCTCGTCACTTGGTATGACCGACCTTGAGGTCATCTTGGGCATGGACTGGTTGTCTCCGTACCACGTCGTTCTTGGTTGCCATGCCAAGACTATTACCTTGGCGATGCCAAAGCTGCGTAGATTGGAGTGGAGGGGTTGATCTATCAGTACATCTTGTCGGGTTATCTATTTCTTGAAGGCTCGACATATGGTCGAGAAGGGTTGTTTTGGCCTACCTGGCTTATATTCGGGATACTGCCGTAGAGACTCCCATGATTGATTTAGTTCCCGTAGTGCGGGAGGTCTCCGATATATTTCCTTCTGATCTAGCAAGAATGCCACCAGATCGCGATATCGATTTTAGTATTGATTTGGCGCCAGGAACCCATCCTATCTTTATTCCACCGTACCGCATAGCTCCGAAGGAGTTGAAGGAATAGCTTGAGGAGTTGCTCGAGAAGGGGTTCATCAGGACGAGTGTGTCATCTTGGGGTGCACCGGTATTGTTTGTGAAGAAGAAGGATGGGAGTATGCAAATGTGCATTGATTATCGCCAACTGAACAAAGTCACTATCAAGAATAAGTACTTGTTGCCGCACATTGATGATTTGTTTGATCAGTTACAGGGTGCTAGGGTATTCTCTAAGATTGACTTGAGGACTAGCTATCATCATCTGAGGATTCGTGCTTCGGATGTTCCGAAGACGTCGTTTCGGACTAGATATGGGCACTATGTGTTTCTAATGATGTCTTTTGGCTTGACTAACGCCCCGACAATGTTTATGGATTTGAT